GTGAGTTTTCATCTAAGTCATGACAAACTAACATTACAAAGAGGAGCAAGTCTTCATTATACTCACATCATGATCATCCATCATTCTCCTCACACCAGCACCCTTAACTCCGATGATGAAACGATGAAATTCAAATGGTACAGTTACTTCTTCTGTTACAGGAACCAAGGCCTACAATATAGAAATTAACAAGTTACAGACTGAGAAATGACTGGACAGTAACACCCTGGAAGTCACAAGATCATCATTATAGTATCCCAAAAATACAACTTGAATCTGTCAGATTTGCCTTTCTCTAATAATAAAAACAAACATGGCTGCAACCAGAGTTGGACTCCGCAAAGAAGTTGGCTGATTCTGTTCTAAACTTTTTGTATTTCGGCATTCCTATGATGTATCCTTGGGAAGAAAAGATGTATAATAATAATAAGGTTATTACGAGGATACCGACAAGTATGCACTCAAACAGTACGCGGTCGCATCAATCTACGCTGCGCGTCGGTCGATACTCCTGCGGTAATGTCTTCGTGTATACTTTGAGGTATCCTTGTAATAACCTTACATTAATACCACTTATTTTTAATTTGCATGCTTCTGAGCACATTACTTATGCCACTCATGAGTAATAATTTTGAGTGAATTTATTGTAGACAGTTATAGCAGCAGTTGAAGATAGTATCTCACCAGTAGAGCAGCTTTAGCACGGTCACAATTATCCTGCTTGCCGGTGATAATTATAGTATCACATTTCTTGGGTTTATCATCTTCACTGTTCTCACTTCCGCCATCGCCATTCACAACAGGTTCAATGGGTTCACCATTGCCATTATTTCCATTACCTATGAACCAAATAGTGTCAATAATGGTAAACACAAACATCTACACTAATTTCAGAAAATCTATTGGTGTTTGGAAAACCTAATACTTTTTTTGCACAAATGAAAAATGATTGATTCTATCCCCCATACAAATAAAGATTTTTTTAGTTAACATGTAAGGCACATTGTGTTTTACTGGAAAAGAAATGCCAATGTGCAGCTGTAACATAGTCAAGTCAGCCATTTTGTGAACAGTTTTAGCAGATGAAATTAACATTTTCAAAATTTGTTCACCATTTTAAGTTCGACATTTTTCTTCGCCATGATGTAACGCATGTATACGAAATAGAGATAATGATTTGTTTGACATTTGTTTTATTTTACTTACTTTCTGCATTCATGTTCATATTACGATCAGGGAATTTGATTCCTACTTCATACTCTGATGTTATGGCCTGTACTTTGGATCCTTTGGCCCCCATAACAGTGCGATGGTTTTTCTGGTCAATTATACATTCAACAGTCACTTGGGATTCCTAATAGACAGAAACAATATTCAAAAGATACCTTTTATAACCAATATAATAATTTAGTCAGGAAAATGCAATACTGTGGAATACTTTATTTTCGCTGGAATTAATTTTCGCTGAAAAGGCTTTTTGGGCGTTTTGTATGGAACTTATTTTCACTGATTTTTGATGAATTTAATGTGAAATATAGAGAAAAAAAAGTATATTCGCTGGATTTTATTTTCACGGAATCATCCCTTCAGCAAAAATAGCGAAAATAAATTCCAAGCGAAAATAAAGTATTCTACAGTATTAATAAACCGCCTTGAATCAATGTTATCAATCACCAGGGTGAAAATTAATTTTTAGTGATTTTGAATTCACTAACTTGCCTTTCATATATTGTAAAATTATTTGACAAGCAAAAAC